AGCAGGCTTCTGAAGCCCGGAGGGATGATGCTTCTGCGAGATTATGGCCGCTATGACATGGCTCAGCTTCGGTTTAAAAAAGGTATTTTGCTGCAGTGATTAAAACCATGTCTGATGGCGTTGTCATCAGGACGGTGACTCTAAAATTATAGCCCACATAGAAAGCTGTGTAATACATGACAAAGGTGGTATGTTTTTGAAGATTTGTGTAATCTAGGTTTTAAAGAAGTCTTTTTAACCGAGATGACTACTTCTAGAGGAGCTGTTTTTAGAAAAATACATTTGATTATATAAATAATTTTAAGTGTGGTATGGCAAAAGATATTAAAAAGTTAAAAGACAAATGTTTTTGGTGCATACAACAAAGACTGCATATCTGTGCTCTTCAAGGGGGCTGTGGCAAATTGATAAAGAAGAGGTCAGTGACCCACCCATAAAATGGGGAAGGAATATTTTAGAGTTGATTCACAGAAGAGCATATCCAAATGGCCAAAAACAAAACTTTAAGGAAATAAAAATAACAGTACCATGAGATGCCAGTTCATAACCTGTTGCTGGCCAGTTCAAAGAAAGAGAAATGTTCTTTTATTATTCGTAGAAATACTAATTATTTGGACCTTTTTTTAAGTATACTGGTATTGTTTATTCAGCCCACCAGTCTGTGGGAATTATTCAAGAACGAGCACTTATAATACTTAAAGCAAAATCCTGGAAACAAAGTGAATGCCTCTCAATTGGGGAATGTTGTGTCTGTCATGAGATAGACCCTATACCATGTTCTCGGAGGGGTTTCTATTCCGTATTACCAAGTGAGAAAGGCAGTGCAAGGTTGAGTATTTTGAATTTAGTCCCACATATAACAGGGGCTGGGGAGATATATGTAAGTAAAGCAAGTAAGATTATATTGATATTCAAGAGGTATAGAAAGGATTACACATCAGTTAAATTGACATTAGGTCGGGGGAGCTTAGCAGCAGAACTGAAAGAGTATCTATGGTGAAAAATAAAGTTTCCTTAAACTTAGCTGTATTGCTTGATTTTTATTTATTTTATTTTTATAAAGAATCTGTGGTGATGATTTGATCACAAGGGGCAGTGGGGAACAACACTAGAAAGGGGGGCTGAGAAATCTCACGTGTTACCTAAAGCTGAAGTTTGATTATTCCCTGGGCTGCTCTCCTGCAAAGCACCGTTCCTTTGTAGGAGAGAAATTGCAAAGTACCAAGGGCAACCAAGAAAGGAGTCCATTCCCTGCCCAACCAGTGATAACGGTGGTGCACGTGTGATTGGCAGTGAAATTCAAAGAAGGGCTTTAAAGTTTCTCTGATTTTTGCCACATCGCTCTACAGGTCAGTGTCTATCTGAGAATTTCTACGTGAGAGGTGACGGCACTAGAGTTTACTTCTTCACACAAGGTATGAAAACACTTATCTCGATTTATGCGAGCACTCCCCAGAATGCCAGGCTAGCTGTTCCTCAGGTGTTCAGAAGTAAAGCCATCTGGCCTCTCCTGCCTTCTGCCGCCTTTGCCTGCCCTTCCCCACCCCCGGCACCCAGCCCACCTAAACTGTTCACTCTTCTCCGCACAGGCTCAGCTTGTGTGAGCCTTCAGTCCTCCACCCTGCTTGTCTGCTCTGCTGTTCCTCCCTGTCACTCTGTCCAGAATGGGAAACTGTCCATTTTGCAAGATTCCAGTGCAGCTGTTTGACCATCTAAGTGGTACTGCACCTTAGGGGCACCAGACTTGGCATGAATGCATCGCTCAGGAGAGCGACCCGGAACTGCTTTCCTTTGCTGCTGCTCTGCTGTCTGTTCCCTCCCTTGCGGTGCCTTGTGACAACTCCATTCCTGGGCCCTTTGTTAGGTCACTTGCTTTTTTGAGCCTTTGGTTAAAGTGATGGAACCTCTCCCCTTAGAAAAGTGACTTTGATATACATATAGGTAGTTTTTGCCTGTAATTTTAAGGTGTCCATAGAGCCCTTCTTGAAAATTCCTCCCTATCAGCTGATTCTTAGGAAAGCTGTCCCTCTGGGATCCAGGTTGCCCTTCCCAGTGGTTTGACTCCCCCTACCTAAATGTGAGCTTGCCGTTACCAAGCTGCCACTGCATTTATAACTAAGCAGCCCTGCTAAAGCTACTTTAACTGTAAATAATGACAGCAATCTCATGGAGCCCATTTAACATGGGAAATGGTAGATACATGCTTTTTCTTCAGTGGAGAGTATATGAACATCTCTTTTCTAAACTAGATGAATTGGACACACTTTTCACTACCGCTGGACTAGAAAAGGTTCAGAACCTGGTGGACCGCCGACTGCAGGTGAACCGAGGGAAACAGCTGACAATGTACCGAGTTTGGATTCAGTGCAAATACCGCAAGCCTCTTCTGTCCAACACGTACCGAGAGACACCTGCTCCTGACATGTGAGCTCATTGGGCCCAAAAAGAACGTCCACAAATGGTGTCTTGTCGGTGTAGGACAATTCCAAGGATTCAGACAGACTGGAACCTTGAACCTAAGAAAAATTACTTTTTATCAAGATTCTAACGATTGGGCTTCATATTAATGTATACCTGAAAGCCCTTTAATGTATAACTGAAATGTTCATGGGAATCATTAATTTAAAAGCATCAAGAGTTTATTTCCCTCTGAAAGTATTATATATGATAAAGTGTCATTTGACTGTAAGTAATATTTAATTATCTGGGAATTCAAGTACCTGGGCTAGACAGTTGATACATACAAAGGTGAATAAAGGTCTCATTCAGGAATAGGGGAAGCAAGTGGGGAAGAATCATCTGTTTTTGGTTGTGTTCCCAACTCAAAAATACCACTTTAAAGAGCATCAGGATGTGTCTGTGTTAAGTATTTGGTTGTGGTCTCCACTTGGCTCTTAGTTCCATGAAATTTTAAGCATTGTTCCCCCCTTTAAGTAACCTGTGTCTAAAAAATTAAAAGGATCTTCACTTTTAGCAAAATTGTCTGATTTTTTTATTGTACCCTTAAATGTTTGATGCAAAAGGAATTGAAAACTTTATTTTAGCCACATCAGTTCACTTCTGAGTTGGCTACATTTTTCCTGTTCTGCTTTTTTCTAGTTACCACTTAATTTATATGGTGTATTTTTAATTTTACCAAATGAAGAATTTTAATTTTGGATTTTCAACTCAGATATTCATAATTGTTTTATTATTTTCGTTATACATGTGAAGATGTGATAAGATACAAGCAATTTTTAAAAATAATTCCAAAGTTACAGAAAAGTATAATACATTTTTGGCAGGAATATCATAAGTAATGCTGTGCTCTCCCCACTACTCCTTGTTAGGACACATGGTTTTGTATTGTCCCATTATAGGATCATTGATGGAAAGGGTCTCTCCTGGGTTTCTCTACTGTAAAGTTACTTACAGGTATTTTTCAGGGTAGTTCTTTGAGACTATATAAATAACCGACTCCTCATCAAACTTTACCTGCGAGTTTGAGCATCTGTTGCTGTTTGTTGGCTGAATTACTGTGGTGATGGTAGCCCAATAGTGTTCTCTAATCCCACTATTCCTTCCTACATTTATTGGTTGACATTGTACTACCATGAAAACTTTTCTTTCTCAATACAGACTCATGGGTTTTTTTATTCAGTGATGATAATGCATTACTATCATGCTTTTGATGCTCCTACTCCCAGATTCGGTCAATGGGAGCTGCTTCCAGTGCTTCTGTGACCATTCAGCTGTCCCCATTATTCTTTGAGCACTTCAAGCAAAAGCTGTTACAGGCTCATCTTAGAGATTCTCTGCCCCAGTCTGAATCAGCCCCTTCCCCTAAGGAGTTCTGGTTTCTTTTAGTAGAGAAAGGCATTTAGAAACCAAGCTAAGTGTTCTTGCTGCTATTGGGCTGTTCCTGTTCCCAGGGTCCCCCAGTGAATGGAGCTTAGGGATATATGTATATATGTACACACACACTTGCATCTACATTTCCATACCTAGATATATTGAAAACCATTTCAGATCAGTATCTTTGATTCCAATCCAACACCGCAGGATTTATTCTAGTTTGTATTCTCTGTACTCAGAGTTCCCCTTTCCAACAGTCCCAAACTCCCATGATCCTCAGGATATTTGGCAGCTCCCGCATATATAACCATTCCCTTTTTGCCGCCACCCACAAATTGATGCTCTTCTCACCTCTCTTGGGCTCAGACACCCCATTCCAAGCCACTTGCCACCACTTCCACACACAGACATCCTCCTCACCCTGTCCTGGGCCCAACACCCACATGGGACTACCACCACCCCTCTGCCCCTGGCTAACATTCACCTTGCTTGGCTTTACCTAACGAGTTTTAAAATGGAAGGGAAAGGTGAAGGAAGGAAGGCAGCTCCCATCTTTTCCATTGTGCTGCAATTATTTAAAACTGGTAAGGACTGACTGAAATGTATTTAATTTATCTTTTGAAATGAAGAACGGATAGAGTAACTTAAATGATCCAGTGAAGACCTTCCTTTGGCATCTCTGAAGCATTTCAAAACAACAGGAACAGTTCATATTCCATCTTCTTTGCACCTGCTTTGGACTTAGGGGATAGGTATAAAAGATAGGCCTTTCCCTATCTGCTGCTTCCTTTTCTTTGCTATCCACTAAATTCTCTTCTGTTGCTGTCTGACTTTTTATGTGTCAGGATAATTTGAAGTCTGTAAGGGACTTTGCATAATTTTTCAGCCTTGGAATTTGCTAATGATGGGCAGAGGACTATTCAACATGGTCAGGGTAAAGTGTGACCAAGGTGCCCCTCAAAAAAATACCCAGATTGGACTATTAGTCTGACTCCAAATGGTTCTCTCTCAACATTCTTAATGCAAAAAAAGTGCTGTATTGCCTAGAAGTGGCTCCACATATGAAAGTTCTCAGGAAGTTGTGTGGTTTAGATTCAAGTCTTAATAGAGAAGTGTATCTGAGACCGACTGATCTTTCTAAGTCTTACTAATTTGGCTGAGGAGATAAATTCAATGTTCTCGAAAAATGAGGGGCAGTTGAATTTGAGACAGGTGCACTGAAGCTAATGGAGCAGAGCCATGTTCCCCAAGGCAGTGCCCAGGGTCAGGTGCAACCATTGCCCAGAGAGCTTGGGTTCTTATGTGATTCAGCTCTGCCTGAGTATAGACTCTGCTGATGCTGTCAAACCTATGGTTTGCAATGGGTCCACTTCCTGCCTTCATCTAAGTTCATACTCTCTTGGACTCTAGTTGAAAGACTAGAACCTTGGAAATTTAATAGGAAAAGGAAAATCTAATACACTAAGACATCCTACTTCTAATTAATTCCTATCTTTGTCTAAAGATGTTACTTTCATAATAGTGGGGAGTTCTATCTGTGGCTTAAAAGATGAGCTCAGGACAAACAGCTTCTTTCACTGTTCACAAAGGCCTGTTCTTCGGTTTGTGGCTGCAGCTGCTATTTTCAGGGCCAGGCTGCATGGTTGTGTTGCAGATTTTTACATACTTCTTAATTTGATATGGTTGACTTGGGAACCTTGGCTGAGAGGTGGAAGTGCTGGTGGTAAATTTCACAGGTAAAAGCACCAAGATGGTGCATCACAGCCACTTTATTTCAGTGAATTTCTAGGTTCAAGATGGGACATCATCTCTCAACTAGTCAGTGGAATGCAGTGCACGACCAATTTGCAGGACAAACAGCCATAGTTGGATTCCATGCTCCACTGGGGGGCCCTGAAATGCAGGAGCTCATGACTGTGACCAAAGGCTCCTGCTTGGCATCTTCCTGATGTGAGCCCCAAATTGCCTTCATTCATTCATAACCCACCCTCCTTTCTCTGAGTTTGGATTTCTCCATTGAGAGTTAAAATATCCTTAGAAAGAGCTGTACTTGAAACCCTTATCAGCAATAGCATGTTACAGAAACACCCCTGAGGGATGAGCAGGGCTGGAGAAAGCTGTGTGTAGCTGCTGTTGGTAAGCCCCCCACACCCTCTGCAGCCTTACTTACCATTACTCAACATTTATTTGGTGATTAAGGCTGACACTCAGTGAAGCTCACTAAACGATGAGTTCCTTGAGAGAACTTTGTATTCTCAGCACTTACCTGGTAGCAAAGCACCTGGCCCATGGTTGGTGCAAGTGAATGAGGACGGACGGACTGAGTAGCTTCTTCCTGCCCTACCCCTGCCCCCTCACCTTCCAGGACACCCACTGACACAGTTTATATTTAACTCCAGAAGGGCACAGTGTAAAAGGGCTATGATTGCCTGTATAAACAGTCAAGCTGGTTTAAATGAGAAAATAGAAGGTAGAAAGACACAGGTTACCCCCATGGACCCCCCAGAGCAGAAATATAGAGGGGCCACCATCTGCCCCCGACTCTAAGGACCTTCTGTCTGCTCCTCCTCAGTCCACTTATAGGAGGTAACCATTACCTGGCTCCTGAGGCTTGATGTCTCTGTAAAATGTGTGAAGTGTCCGTGTGCGCACACATGCGTGCATATGTGTGCCTCACACGTTGGGTGTAAGCAGTCCCCAGAATGGGTTTACAGGCCAGGAAGAGCCCTCAAAGGCATCCACAGAGTACTGCTTTTGTTTCATCCTTCCAAATATCCCCATCCAAGCACTGCTATTATTTGCTTGATCTTTTTAAATTACATTCTTACATTTATTTTAAAAGGAAACTTTATTATCAGTGCTATAACGTAAAGTATCACTTGTCATGAATAGAAGTATAAAAAATAAATAAAATGAAAACAAAATAATACACTAGCTGGGCACCATTGCTGGCCAAAGGGTTTGAGCACTAGGCCTGGAAACACCATAGTGTACAGAGCCGGAGTCGCAGCTCTTGGAGCTCACATTGGGATGGGGATATTCTAGCAGTAAAACTATAAAACAGGAATCAGGTGGGCATGTGCAGAGTAGGGAGGATAGAGAGGTGGAGGGGAGCTGGGGAAAGGGCCCTCTGAGATGGGGTTGCCAGGGAAGGTCTCCTGGGGGAAGAACCTTCTGGACAGAAGGAACAGCCTCTGCAAAGACCTGAGGATCATGGTACACTGACGTGCTGTCCACCGCATACATGGGGAACACTGCGTCATGAATATAGGCTTAATGAGACCATTGCTCAGTCTTGTAATAAATGTATCTGCCTTTAGCACGTTTTAATAAGTGTATTACCCCAATGCACTGTGTACTAAGAGATCTGTAAGAATGATTACCTGTCTCCTAGTGACCCTCAGGTCTAGAGTCTGGATTCTCTGTTCCTGTAGGGACTATTAAAATATGAAGCCAGCCCAACTCACAAGAGCCTGGTATAAAGACCAGGTTTATTGATCTGGAATCAGAACCATAAGGAACAGGCCACAGGATCTCCCAGGGAAAGGAAGCTGCCTGAGAAACTGAATACATCATAAGCTGATTAAGAATACACAAGAGTACTGGCACAAGAACAGAGTCACAGATCAGTGGAAGAGAATAGAGTCTCCAAACATTAACCCAAACATATATGGTCAATTAATATACGATAAAGGAGCCATGGACATACAATGGGGAAATGACAGCCTCTTCAACAGATGGTGTTGGCAAAACTGGACAGCTACATGTAAGAGAATGAAACTGGATCACTGTCTAACCCCATACACAAAAGTAAACTTGAAATGGATCAAAGACCTGAATGTAAGCCATGAAACCATAAAACTCTTAGAAAAAAAACAGGCAAAAATCTCTTGGACGTAAACATGAGCGACTTCTTTAAGAACATATCTCCCCAGGCAAGGGAAACAAAAGCAAAAATGACAAGTGGGATTATATCAAGCTGAAAAGCTTCTGTAAGCAAAGGAAACCATCAATAGAACAAAAAGTTATCCTACAGTATGGGAGAATATATTCATAAATGACAGATTCAATAAAGGGTTGACATCCAAAATATAAAAAGAGCTCACACACCTCAACAAACAAAAAGCAAATAAGCCAATTGAAAA